ATGAAATTTAGAATATATATTTATCAAATCTAGGGCAACCTGCTTGCGTAATTTGAAGTTCTAATATTACAAATTGACAGCAATAATATTTAAAATGTCTTTTTTTAAAAAAAATAATTTTATTTTAATTTTTTTTTAGTAAAGTAATGTTTTATTTATTATTAAATTAAAATATAAATAGAATAGTTAAGATAGTATAAAAAGTTAATTTAGATCATTTTTTATTTAATATAAAAAAATTATAAAATTTGAATGATTTTTATTAGAAATAATTATTGATTTTTATATTGAGGTACAAATCTTTTTGCGCTGACCCATAGTTAATATTATAATTTTCTCCTCATCATAAAATTACTAATTTGCATTATCGTATTATAAACTAGAAACGTTCAAATCCTGAGCATAAATCTATCGCTATGTCGCTATGCATGATAGGTGGTTTTATTTACGATTATTTATTATTTTCTGTTTTTTGTCCCTTCTAAAGAGGACAGTTATCTGTTCCAACGCCTCTCATGATTCGCGGCTTAACTGAATGGAAAATTTTATTATTAGACTTTGCGCCAGTTTTGGAAATTTCGGTGTTTTCAATAATCGATTAGTTTTATCATTCTAATGTTTGGGAACAGCCAATAACTATAACGCCATCAAATATCATGCATAACTTTATTTTTTATCTGTTCTATATTTTTGACTTTACGCGTATAACATCCGGAGTTAAGGATTCGCAATGGGACAAAAGTTTGTCGAAACATGTAATTTCATCTTTTAAATGGCTAAATTCAAATGCCCATAACTCGTATTAATTTGTTCAACGAATAGGAAAGGATTTTTCTAGAGAAATAGATTTGCTAATAAATGTACAAGAGAATATTAGGATGAAAAGCTAATTCAATTTATTCGAGTAAAAATTATCAACAATATATTACTGGTTTATTTATTACTATTATTATTATGACTATTATTAATTGCTACTGATTATATCATTTTTACGTCTGTGCAGCTCATCCTACCCATTTCTTGGATAATGAAACTAGAAGGATTTAGCTTTGTTCCTCACAGCCGAAGGAGTTTTGGTTCCTGGAGATGATGCTGTGGCATTTAGGATTTCTTCGCCTTTGGTGCTTGGGATGTTCTTCAGAAAATAATTCCCCGAGTGTTTCCGGCTTCAGCTCAAACAGCAATCCCCTACCGTCCTTCTCCACTTTGAGGAATTTATGATGCGTTCTATTATGAATATTTATTTGATCGCTTTACATTTCTCTTTCTAATGACCTCTACTCGATTACGGGTTTCGCAATAAAAATTAGGATTAGAATGAGAATATATTAGTTAAGCTATATAGTAAATCCAAATAAATGTCGCAATCATGTAAAGCAGTAATAAAGCTGAAAACACGTTTACGATAGAAATGGCACGTGATCTACGCTTTTTTTCGCTAAAATCTTCGTAAAGTTCATTTTTATTTTTTGAATTCTCACCGATATACATGTACATATTTGGCTCTCTTTTGCTTTACATGCATTATCTTGAATTACGTGTATATGTTCTGGGATTTGGACAATTCAGTATTTCAAAATGTAAAATTTAGATAATTTTTTAGATTTGATTTACCGCCACTGATTAAAATTATAAAACGTCATTCCATCCCATCATGATTGACATCAGTATGGAGAGTGACTTTATGATCTAATTATTGCTTTGCTTTATTACATGTATCTTTATCTGTAACTATCCAATCAATCAGAATGGGCACAGGATAATGATGCTCTTGGGAAATTGACATATTACATATTTACGAAAGTGAGGTAATAATTCTTGCGTTTAGATTCAACAATTACATCATCATCATCATCATCATGAACAGTCTAGCAAATTCTCATGGCGAGTTCACACACATATATATTCCTACCGTCTTAATTCTCGCACTCTTTAACTACTTTTGATGTTTTATTAATCCACATAATGGCACTTAATCGCGAATTTGGCGACGTTGGCCGTGCTTTTCGAGGTATTCGAGACATAGACCAAATAGTTCGCGACTTCTTCAAAAGTAGTCGTGGTCAACAAACTGACGCTGATATTAATTGGCTTCCCGATATTGATGGTTGGTTGATAAATCTTCCTATTTGTGTTCAGCAATTCTATCACCTAATCTTTTATTTTTCAGTTCGCGACACCGGTCGAGAATATGATGTGACAGGTAAAGCTTATCATATAGGATGTAACACCGTTTTCCTTAGCACTCACTATCACTATGTTTATTACAGTCGACCTCCCGGGTGTTTCTAAGGACAAATTAAGTGGTACTGGAAATGAAAATTCAATACGCTCGATCTTTTTTTATTTATCGATTTCAAATCATTGATTAATCTTATTTCCAAATGCGATAGTTGATGTTTGTGGTGACTCTTTGGTCATCTCGTATGAATCATTTTTACCATCATATATTCTGTCAACATTGTGCGCATTCGCTTAACCAAGACACTTTTATAGTGGCGAAAGACCCCGCGACGAACAAGAAAATCAACGTGTCATCTATCACGAGCGTCCTAAAGGCCGGTTCATGGTATGTCTTATATATTCGGACCCGTAAATATATTTGCCTATCGTTAATATATGCGCTAATTTATAATAGCGCACAATCCCATTGCCAACCGGTGTTCAAACCGATAAGGTAGACGCTAAGTTAGAGCAAGGAATTCTTCAAGTTAAGGTAAATATACTGAGCATATTACAATAAACATTCAAAGATCTCATAATTTATATTTCAATTCTATACAGATTCCTCGTTCCGAAGAATCCGCCAGTAAACGCATTGAAATACAATAATTGTTGTCTGCTTATTAGGAAATGTATATGATGCTTGACTATAGTCAACGTCCTTTTTTTAATCAATACATCAAATAAATTTGTGTTTGTGAAGAATCATATATTTGATAAAAAAGTCATTATTATTTACATAACAAATTGCTTTATATTAATAGAGCTTTTTGTCACGTTTTTCAACTGAAGCTTTAAGAATATTAATTACACAATTAGAATTATTCTAGTCATTATATCGTTATCATTATAAAAAAATAATTCAGAGTTCATGAATATTAGACGTAAAGAGTATAAATTATTGCATAAAGTTTGAAAAGTGATTTTGATTGAATATAAAGATAAATGCGTGATATTAATTTTGAAATAAAGAATCGACTGGTATAAATCCTTGGTTTTTTACTTGCTTGTGATTCTATTTCCTCTTTCAAAGATAGATTCGATAAAGTCATCAAGTTCCGCAGCAGTTGATCTGTTTCTGGAATATGGTCAGGATCCCAACATTTTTTAATAAATAAATTTGCACCATCGTGGGTCGTATCCCTTTATAAAATGTCGCGCACGAGATATTTATCATGACTCCCTAATTTGAATTTTGAATTTTTCATTATGTCCGATTAGAGTCAGGATAGGGGTAAGGTATTGAGTAAGGGAACAAGATTATATGTAAAATTGCATTCCCGACATTTTTAATTAATAATCCTAGACAAATTCATGCTTGTAATACAAGTGAGTCTCATTATAATAAAGTTTTAACTTAGTAAAGACTAATTAAAATTCTTGATATAGTAAAGTTGAGCTCAAAAAGAGTCTATATTAAATCCCTTCGATATAGTAAATTTATTAGTAAATTTTTGTAATAGTCCGGGTGCCTTACTGCATCAAGATTCATTTGTACATGTAATATATCATTTTGAGTATGATTTTGTATTTGTGCATTCTTATACATGTTCATTTCTTACTCCTAGCGCTAAGTGGACATTTATATTACGTAATATTAACGTTAATATCTAAGAAATTTGAAATCTGGTTCAGATTGTTTGTGGTACAAAACGACATCGACATGCATTAAAAAGAGAGACTTACAACTCGATTTTCACATTACAGTCAACTCTCCCTAAATGCACCTTCCATAAATGCACACCCTAGTTCAATCCCAAGCTTATAAGACTCTTATAAAATTTACTCTCTCTAAATGCACATTCTCTTTAAATGCACCTTTTGACAAATTAATTTTATGGGGCCCGAGGGGTGTGTATTTAGGGAGAGTTGGCTGTATTTCGAGTGACGAATTCTGCAGACTATGTTCTTCGATACCAGCTCGAATAAAATTATTAAATTGTTTGTTCATTCGGAAACAGGGACGTTAGATTTCGCCCGATTGTAAGATAATGAACCTACCGTAAAGCGTTCTTTAAAGTACCCCGGATATTTTACATTTTACTTAAAACCAGGCGTATATTATGTGGAGAAATATTGTGGTTCAAAATGCAGGGACACGGAAAAATTCCATTGTGATTTTGAAAAAATTCCGTTTTGATCTTAAAAAAAAAAGTGTCAAATTCAATCTTGTTGTGTTGATTTTCTTTAAATTTTTATAATTTGCTGTATTAATATACGAAATACTAGTCCCATTAATTGAATAACTACAAAACCAACATAATAAAATTCCATTATCATAGCGAAAATCTTCAGAAAACTCTTGTGCATGACTAAATGCAATTATTCGTTTTTGTTTAGGAAGCATTTTTCATGAATAAAATGAGATTCAACAATCTATAAAACGATCTTTGTAGTACATATCATCTATAAAATTCTCTTTCATACCGATTTATTCCGTTTTGTTTCAAAATTCTGTTTTACGCCGATATCTATACGTATATCTGAATTTTTTCGGGTCCTTGGTCGACCCGAATTTTTACCGCCCGGCGAAGAAAAAATACGAGAACAGATATCTAAACCTATCGTGGCTGCTAATAAGAAATGACAGAAGGAAATAATGCCCGGCTAACTTTAACTCCAAACTAAACTTGAATCTAATTTAAATTAATTTCATTCATTTTGCTGTACTATATGGATTGTAGCATGATACAAGTATAAGGGGGGCACTTTACATTTTCATATATAGTACCCGAGTGTGGGGGTATTTTACACAGGAAGTACTTTAAAGGAAATGTAAATGACTTTATATGAATTTCCAAATACATATACATGGTACATGTATTAGTACATGTAAAACGTGTAACAACAGGAATACATGTACATGACATGTACTATCCAACAAATTCAGAAAATCTTGCATAAAAAGAATCTGACTTATAATGCCAATGTTATAACAAATACATGCAACAAGAGCTTTGCAAGATAACCACTGTACATGTAGATAGGTTTTTATCGTTTTAGTTAACGTTTAATTGGTGTTCTTTTAGTTAACGTTAATTGGTGTATTGAAAAGAGCAATTCAAATTGTGCTATTGGTTCATTACCGTAGTAGCTAGTACGACGGTGTCTTTCTCGGAACGAACAAATCAAGAAGCAAATAAACTAGAAAGAGTTTACATGACTATTGCATGTACATTTCCGGTACAATGACAAAATAAAGTACATGTATGTCGGAATGCTAAATTACTTATTAAATTAAAATGTTCTATTATCTAATACTAAATTATATATTGTAATGTCCTTTTTTGCTAACAAAATTTAGAATACGGATTAAGAAATTCTATTATATTAGAAATAATACTTTTGAGATTAAAGAACTTTGCAATAAGGCAATTTGTTTTTGCCAATAAAATTTCAAGTTGGATTTTATGCGGAAATAGCTTTCGCATTTACTTTATCGACCCAATTCTGGAATCGATTACAAACTTTGACTCCAGTTATCAAAATTTCTTGAAGATTTGGAAAGTTGTTGGATGTGAGTGGCCGAGTAAGTGTATCGGTTAATGTGAATTCGCCCCAGAATTCAAGAGATCGCAAACATCGAAATCGTGCCAAGGCGTCAAGTGAATATGGGCCGTCTGGCTTATTGTCTGCCTGAAACACCAAGTGTTGTAATGTGACTGGTAAAACCTCAAGTACGCGTTCGAGACCCTCGTGAAAGCTTTCAGAGTTTTTCAATTCAAATCGGATGAGTTTTTCTTGTTTGGCCAAGAAATCAAAAAATAAGGAAACCGACTCCGGCGCTTTTTCTTTGAAATTCGGCAAGTGTGAAACCATCAATGTATTCTGTAGAAAAACCACATGAATAGCATTAAAAATTATCATTGCAATTTAGAATTCTACGAAATATTAACATTAATATTTCGCTTACCAAATTTTTACAACCATTCGATAAAACCGGAATAAACTCCCACCATCCAAAGTCAGCAACTAAACTCAACTCTCGAACTTGGCTTATCCAATGCACAAAATGTTCCTCATCTCCAATCGAAAATATTTCGGGCTCGTCGACACATATTATTGAAAGTGGCGGCGAATATCTCAAAAACATTTTCACGAGAACGCTTTTAACTGCTCGATGCCACGCAAAATCGTCACCCGTTGTACCCGGAACTAAATAAGAATAATTTGGTCTGTTTGATTTTGAATTCTCAGTATTGTCAGGTTTGATTTTCTTACGGTCCGAAGAGGCTGCTGAGGATGACGTGGCGAATGAGTCTTTACATGTGATGAGGATTGGACCAGGTTCAATTGGCATATTGTTGTTAGTTGTATCATTTGGAGATTCTAGGACTTCATTTATGGTTGTTATCGGCGGATGAACATTAAAGAACATCCAATCCCTAATTGCAGCATCCAATGCTTTAAAATCCATTCCACGAAGAAACGCTGGATATTGAAAAAATGTGGAAGGGGTCGGTGGCACAACAACACCTTTAGCTTTAAGTTCAGCTCGTTCTTCATCATTCAAAAACGACAAGTAAACATCAATAATCCTATGGTCTTCTGAGTAAAAAAATGGCGACTGCCAAATTAACCTAATTGCGTTGCTACACCAATGTCGATTTACAAGTAAGAATCGAAACCAATCATTCGTTTTGCAGTTTTGAAATACATTTTCCAAAATCTCACTTATTAGGTATTGTGCTGGCGAATGAGTATTATAATCGGAGCTCATTTTTGTTTTTTTCTTGGACTAAGAACCGACCGTAATTTATTTCAAAATTTTCTTTTATGTATTTAATAAAAGAAGAAACTAGGAAAAAACGGGAAATGGTATACTAAATGGTCCGTTATACTTGCATTATGAAATAAATAAGAGAAAGAATACTTTGCACCCCTCAAACTTGTACATGTATTATATTTAATTTACTACTGCCATCACCTAGCCATATAAAATAGACATCTCAATGCATAATTACACCTTCTCTAAAAACAACAGCAACAGCCTCCGAAAAATAATTAATTTACATGTAATTTAAACCATGTGTTCAACAAAGTAAATCAATTATTTTCCGTTCTATGTGAACACACGTAATATACATGTAATACACAACCCTTGACATTATCGTCGATTGATACTTTTTTGGGTACGACATATAAATTACATATACAAAAACATTACTGATTGATACAGATAATGCAAGAAATTTGATCACACGATGTACACAACTTTGAATGTAACCCACGAAAAAATTTCCTAGTTGAAAAGATTATACATGAACATGTACTGTACATGTAATTCACACACTAATAGAAATAAACAGAATCAGCATTACGTTTGAATATCATATGCATACACGTGCACGAAACTTAATTGCTAGCAATAACGATAACGATAACTAGAAATTTTCCCAATCTTTTTAACTCAGACACATAAATGTATTGGTGCGGGCAAAATTCTGGATATTAGTATTAGAGAAGGCAACGTTAACTATTGTCAGATGATGATTGAATCAGCCAACTATAGTTAACTTTTCATTCTGTAGAATATCACGACACTATCTATAACAGATCATCTAATTTCAGTTCAAACTTTCAAACTCTACAATCACTTTTTTAAAAAATTAGTTCTTAAACGCTGTTTTATTATCTTCTAATAGTTTATTAGATTATATATAAAATTTAAAAGAGCAAGCTTAGACAACATAATAAATTAAAGAATATGAAAAAAAGTATTTAAGTTTCATATTTATTTCTAAGAAAAAAAAAGAATAAAAAGATGAATTCATATTAATGTTATTACATTTTCATAATAATAGTTTAAAAGATTAAACAAAGCAAACTAAAATATATTTAAATAAAATCAAAATTTAAAAAAGAAGCTAGTATATAAAATTCAATAAAATTAATAAATATTATGATTTTTATAATTATAAAACCAGAAAATTAATTTTATTAATAAAATATAATAAAAATAAAAATTTTCTTTTTGTAACAAATCTTATTTTTTGGATTTATTGTGCTATGTTAAGAAATTATATCATATTACTTTATAAATTATCTAATTATTTTGATTTATTATAATTATAATATAATTTTCTTAATAGAACATTTAATTTTTTATCAAATTTATTTAGTTCTTATAAATATATCTTTTGAAAGTCAAATTTCATTAAATAATTATATATTAATATGGATTGGTGCAAAAAGATTTGTATCTTAATATAAAAATCAATAATTATTTCTAATAAAATTTATTCAAATTTTAATCAATATTTATAATTTTTTTATATTAAATAAAAAATGATCTAAATTAATTTTTTATATTATTTTAATTATTCTATTATACTTTAATTTAATAATAAATGAAGCATTACTTTACT